GGTTTAGGGTTTAGGGTTTAGGGTTTAGGGTTTAGGGTTTAGGGTTTAGGGTTTAGGGTTTAGGGTTTAGGGTTTAGGGTTTAGGTTTGAGGGTTTAGGGTTCCCTCTCTCCCTCTCTCCCTCTCTCCCTCTCTCTCCCTCTCTTCCCTCTCTCCCTCTCATCCCTCTCTCCCTCTCTCCCTCTCTCCCTCTCTCCCTCTCGTCCCTCTCTTACATCCTCTACCTCTCTCCCTCTACCTACTCTCTCCCCTACCTCTCCCTCTCTCCCTCACCTCTCACTCTTCCCTCACCCGCTCCCCGCTCTCCCCTCGCACCCCACTCACCCTCCCTCCCCTTTCCTCCCTCTCACCCTCTTCCCTCTCTTCCCTCTCTCCCTCTCTCCCTCTCTCCCTCTCTCCCTCTCCTCCTCTCTCCCTCTCTCCCTCTCTCTCTCCCTCTCTCCCTCTCTCCCTCTCTCCCTCTCTCCCTCTCTCCCTCTCTCCCTCTCTCCCTCTCTTCTTCTCTCCCTCTCTCCCTCTCGTCTTCTCTCTCGCTCTCACACCCTCTCCGTCTCTCTTGGGTTGTCCCTTTTGATTTGATCTTCACGCGCTTGAGCTTGGGGTTCGGGACTTTAGTTCGGGATGTGGCGGAATGCAGGTATTTGTGGTTTGGGGAGTTCTGGCATAGGCTAGGCCCCAAACCCTAAACCCTAAAACCTTAACCCTAAACCCTCAACCCTTGTTCTCAAGCCTTCTTCCTTTCCCCAGGAATTTGGAGTGCAGATTCTGCGGTGGTGAGGAGCAGTACGCAGACATTCCCTGCCCGACAGAGGAGCCAATGTTCATGCTTGAGCGCCATTGAATTTAGGGTTGTAGGGTTTAGGGTTTAGGGTTTAGGTTTGGGGGTTTAGGGGGTTTAGGGGGTTTAGGGGGTTTAGGGGGTTTAGGGGGTTTAGGGGGTTTAGGGGGTTTAGGGGGTTTAGGGGGGGGGGTTTAGGGGGTTTAGGGGGTTTAGGGGGTTTAGGGGGTTTAGGGGGTTAGGGGGTTTAGGGGGTTTAGGGGGTTTAGGGGGGTTTTTAGGGGGTTTAGGGTTGTGCCTTCAGGGCTGAGCTGAAGAAACCAGAGCACAAAGTGCCAGAGTTTCTAAGGAAAGCTTAGGGTTCAGGTTCAGGGTTTAACGTTTAACGTTTAGCGTTTAGGGTTAGGGTTTAGGGTTTAGCGCTTGAAGGATTTAGGGTACAGGGTTTAGCACTTAGGGTTTAGGGCTTAGGGTTGAAGGTTTAGGGAGGCACCCTAAACTAAACCCTCTAAACCCTCTAAACCCTCTAAACCCTCTAAACCCTCTAAACCCTCTAAACCCTCTAAACCCTCTAAACCCTCTAAACCCTCTAAACCCTCTAAACCCTCTAAACCCTCTAAACCCTCTAAACCCTCTAAACCCTCTAAACCCTCTAAACCCTCTAAACCCTCTAAGCCCTCTAAACCCTCTAAACCCTCTAAACCCTCTAAACCCTCTAAACCCTCTAAACCCTCTAAACCCTCTAAACCCTCTAAACCCTCTAAACCCTCTAAACCCTCTAAACCCTCTAAACCCTCTAAACCCTAAACCCTAAAGCCTTAACCCTAAACCCTAAACCCTAAACCCTAAACCCTCAAAACGAAACCCAACATCGATCGAGCTTCCAGGAGAGGCAATGCACGTGGCCGGGTGCCGAACCTGTGGCTGGGCGGTGATGTTTAGGGTTTAGGGTTTGGGGTTTCGGGTTTAGGGTTTCGGGTTAAGGGCAAACCGAGCTGAGAGTTTCGCTGAGAGGGGGTTGAAGGTCTAACTGGATATGGCCTGGGCTGGAGCAGAGCACAGCCTCGAGGGGAGAGGGCCAAGACGAAAGTGCAGAATTTGACTCCGCATAGGCCTTTAGCCACCGCAACATCGGTATTTGTCATAGGAGGGTACCCCTAACCCCTAAACCCTAAATCCTGATATAACCACAGCAGCAAGGAACCGATCTTCGCAGCAAAAGCTCGGCCTCCAGCTAGCAGCTTCTTTCCTGCTGCTGCTAAGGTGACACCATACTACTGGGACACGACATGCCAGATGGGAGTGCTAGGAGCCTTGGCGGCTGTTCTGGCTTGAGACACAGCAACCCTAAACCCAAACCTTAAACCCTAAAGCCTATCCCCAACCCCTAACCCTAAACCCTAGCCCTAAACCCTAAACCCGAAACCCTAGGCCTTAACCCAACAGGAGCTTCCAGGGACAAACGGATGTTTGGGTTGAGGATGAATCGTTCAGTTAGATCCCAAACCCTGAGACCCCTAAACCCGACATCCGAAACCAACAGCTCAGCTGTGCGTGATGTCTGCGTGAGGAGTTTGTGTTTAGGGTTTAGGGTTTAGGTTTAGGGTTTAGGGTTAAGGATTTAGGGTTAAGGGCTAGGGTTTAGGGTTCAGGGTTCAGGGTTTAGGGTTCGCAAATGAGATTGCAACCCTGACCCTGGGATGCGCAACGTCAAATTGCACCCAGAAGCTCTGCAGCCAAGCCCCAAACCCCAAACCCTATACCCTAAACCCTAAACCTTAAACCCTAAACCTTAAACCCTGAAACCCTAGACCCCAAACCCTAAACCCTAAACCCTAAACCCTAAACCACAACAGACAAGCCCCGTACATGCACCCAACAAGCCTTTTTAACCCCGCCAAGCCCGACAAAAACCTCAAAATCCTATAAACACCAGCCCTTTAATTCTACAAATCCTATAAACGCCAGCCCTGTAATTCTAAGGTAGATTCATGGGCCTTGAACACGTTCCCTTACCCTCCTTAAAGGGTTCTGATGCATGGGCCCTTGGGTTGTCCAGGGTATATATAAGGGTCCCTGTCTAAGGGCTCATACTACGGGACCACGAAGCTACCCTAAGAATAAGCCCCACAAGGCGCTAGAAAAAAACTAAACCCTAAACCCTAAACCCTAAACCCTAAACCCTAAACCCTAAACCCTAAACCCTAAACCCTAAACCCTAAACCCTAAACCCTAAACCCTAAACCCTAAACCCTAAACCCTAAACCCTAAACCCTAAACCCTAAACCCTAAACCCTAAACCCCTAAACCCCTAAACCCCTAAACCCCTAAACCCTAAACCCTAAACCCTAAACCCTAAACCCTAAACTCTGGAATCGCCAAAAGGCCCTCTAAGCCTTGACCCCTCAACCCTAAGTGACGCAGTCCAGGATGCAACGCTGACGGCATACATATCGAGTGCCGCTTCTGCCACTTGGCGGCCTAAACTCCCAACCCCTAAACCCTAAACCCTACACCCTAAACCCTAAACCGTAAACCCTAAACCCTAAACCCTAAACCCTAAACCCTAAACCCGAAACCCTACACCCTAAACCCTAAACCCTAAACCCTAAACCCCAAACCCTAAACCCTAAACCCTAAACCCTAAACCCTAAACCTAATCTAGAACCCTAGAGCTCCAAGGTCCTAAACCCCTAAAGTAAGCCTAGAATAGAACTCTAGAACTCTACAATCATAAACCCTTATAAGCCCAGAACCCTAGAACTCTAAAACCCTAAAGCCTGATAAGCTTAGAAGCCTAGAACTCTAAAATCCTAAGCCCTATACCCTAGAGTCCTATAGAACCCTTTACAGAACCCTAGAACCCTAGAACCCTTGAACCCTAAACCCTAAAATCCTAAACCCGAAAATCCAAAACCCGAAAACCCGAAAACCAGAAAACCCGAAAACCCGAAAAACCCGAAGACCCGAAGACCCGAAGACCCGAAAACCCAAACCACCAGACCAGGTGAGCAGTTCCCTTTCAAACCCTAGAACCCTAGAACCCTAAACCCCCCAAAAAACAACAAACCCGAAAACCCGAACCACCAGTGCAGGTGAGAAATTTAAACCCTAAACCCTAAAAGACCTTAAACCTTAAACCTTAAACCTTAAACCCTTAACCCTAAACCCTAAACCCTACACCCTAAACCCTAAACCCTAAACCAGGTGAGAAATTCCCTTTCAAGAGCATACGGTGCCCGCCCTACGCGCGGCCCGAGATCCCCACCTACGAGCCGCTTGGCTCAAAGGCTCCGCGGTTTAGGGTCTAGGGGGTTAAGGCCTCCTACCTAGGGTTTAGGGTTTAGGGTTTAGGGTTTAGGGTTTAGGGTTTAGGGTTTAGGGTTTAGGGTTTAGGGTTTAAGCCGGGTTTTTTCGGCATCCCCCTTATAGGAGCCCTTATACCCCAATAGTAGGATCCTTATGTTTCTGTGGTTTTTTGGGCCTTTATGTACCCTGAGTGTTCGAGGTGCACCTGTGAGGGCTTGGGGTTTAGTTTAGGGTTTAGGGTTTAGGGTTTAGGGTTTAGGGTTTAGGGTTTACGGTTTAGGGGTTAGGGTTTAGGGTTTAGGGTTAGAACCCCAAGCCCTAAATCCTTCAAAGCCCTCAAAAGCTCTTTGAAAGGCTAAAGCGCCTAAACTCTAAAGGCCTCCTGAACCCCCTAAACCTATAAGCCCTAAAGCCCAAACCTTCCACACCCCAAACCCTTCCAAATCTTAAACCCTAAACCCCTAAACCCTAAACCCTAAACCCTAAACCCTAAACCCTCAACCCCAAACCCTAAACCCTAGACCCTAAACCCCAAACCCTAAACCCTAAACCCGAAACCCCACGCCCTGAAAGCTCAAGGTGCTGGTTCCCACACGGGACAGCCCAGACCTACTTCTGGGACAACAACTGTAAAGTGGGCATGCTCGGGTGCCTGGCGGATGGCATCCACGAGACTTCGGCTGAAGTTTTGGAACCCCAAACCCCGGAGCCGTAAACCCTAAACCCTAAACCATAAACCCTGGGGTTTAGGGCCTATAGGGTTTAGGGTTTTGGCCAGGGTTTACGGGCTTGGGAAGGCTGCGGGTACAGGCGGTGCTGATGCCGGACGTTCCGCTAAAGCGTTTGGCTTGCGCATAGCAGCATAGCGAAGAGCTAGCAAGGCGTACTCCCGTTGTCCTGAAGCTTCAGTTGCCATGGCACTGTCTTGCAGCCTCGAGCTTAAGCTGGGTGAGTTGGGCCAAAAAACCCAACCGCCTCGCCCGCTTCCGCTTGGAGGTTTCGGAAAGTCGCAGGCAGATGTGAAGCAGCCCTACGATGGGATCAAGCTGAAACTTACTTCGCCTTGAGTTGAACTTCAAACTTTTTGGGTTTCCTTACTTAGTAGGAATCTTCAAGTTCAACATCTATTCCCCTTGGTTATTGGAGAAGTAAGGAAAGGCCTGGAGTCGAGGCAGAGCAGGACCGCCGAAGGAGCTGTCTCAGACGAGGACCTCACCCCAACGTGCGCCAGCTCGGCGACGTCGACTGCTGCCTCGCCTCGCACTTCCTGGCACGACGTCATGCCCATGAAGGTGCCACTCCCGCCATCATGCTGGAAGGAGATCGCCGCCCAGTCTTCGTCCCCGATGCGCTTTGGAACCGTGCCCGAGAGCTCTCAAGTGATGGATGCAACCCACCGTCAGAGCGCCATCTCAAGTCTGCCATCTCTGGCAGCTTGGGCGTCTTCCGAATCACAAGCAGGATTCACTTGCTTGAGCACCCAATTCTCCACGACCTCTCCCCCTTGGCCCCAGAGGTTTGCCAAGTTTGCCCCACCACCTGGGCTCGAGAGGCCAGTGCCGCCCCAGGTAGACGGCGAACTCCCAGAGCCTGAGTTCCCAGGCACAGGCAAATCCATACCAAAAGCTGAGGGACCGTTTCTGCGCCGCTTCTTGGTAGGCCAGTGGTACCCTTTTCCTGTTTTTTGGTTCAAGGTTCTCTTCTAAATTAACCAACCGAAAAAGGGTGCCCGCATCATAATATGGTTACTGGGGTACCAAGGCTTCGTCTTCACCGGCTTTGATGCCGTCAACCACGCCGACTTCGACCTCGTTCCTCGCTTAATCGGACGTGGCGGGTGCAACCTTCGTCCCATCCGGCAGGCATCGAGGTTGGATTTTGGGACATGTTTTTGGGTTTTCCTTATTTGGGTTTCTAAGGGACCCTATCTATATATATATATATATAATTATAAATAAGTAAATACATATATATACATACATATAGTATATAGATATTTCCAGGATGTTTAAAGGCCAACCCAGGCATGCAACGCCTACATCCGAGTCAGCGGAGGGGAAGACGACCTCAGGAGCCCGGTGGAAGTGCCTATATCCCCCTCAGGAATTATTGTTTATTTTCGATTTTTGTTCCAAGAGGATATTACCCTAAACCCTAAACCCTAAACCCCAAGCCCCAAACCCTAAACCCTAAACCCTAAACCCTAAACCCTAAACCCTAAACCCTACTTTTATTCAGGTTCTAAGGGGAGTAGAGGTGCTGCTGCTCTGTGGCAACCAGAAGGACTTGGAGGAAGGAACGAGGCGGCTGACTAAGTTGCTTTGTGGCACTTCACTGTAACTTAGGGTTTAGGGTTTAGGGTTTAGGGTTTAGGGTTTAGGGTTTAGGGTTTAGGGTTTAGGGTTAAGGGTGTAGGGTTTAGGGTTTAGGGTTTAGGGTTACTTTAGGTCCTCAGCCTTTTTGGGGTCTATTGGGTTTCTTAGTAAGGCAGCTACCCTACGAAGTGCAGTCAAGGCTCCTGCAAAACCTCCGTGTGCACTTCGCTCGCTATTGCCGCAAGCGAGGTATCAGCCCAGTCCCTGTGCTGTACCGCTTGCTCCCCTGAAACCTGCAGATGGTCTAGAAGCAGGCTGCGAGAATGGCGCTGTGGGGCTTTTAGTAATTGCATCAGCTTCGACAAGCTGTTGATACAAGCTGCGCCACCCGCACCCGGCTTTTGAACGCCATAGCAGTGTTTCGGCCTTTATACCTTTTGTACTCCCTGCGGCACACTCGCCGGAGCGAAGGTCCACGGCGATATAGGTTGTATCAGGCAATGGGGAACCTGCGCTCGGACTGCCTGCAGACTCCGTTCTGCGCATATACATATACACATCTTTGTATATCCATACATATATATATATAGATTATATATACACCTTCATTTTCTTTATTTCGTCGCTCTTTGTGGTAGAAGAAGGAAAGCAGAATGTTGTATCTTCCGTGCTCTTCTGCGCAACCTGGTCCCAGTTGTCCTGACCATAACCTTCATGTGCTGGACCGCAGGGGAGAGTACTTGGCTTACAGCTTTGGGAGCTCTGGTAGTCGAACTGTCTGACACTGCTTGTCATCATCGGTTTCTCCTGAGTAGCAGCTCATGTGCTCAGCTTTCTCTCCTAATTTCCTACGCTACGTGCGAGCCCTCGTGTTTGTGCTATGCAGATTTGGCCTTCCTCCAAGCCGTGTCAGGCAGCAGATCTGGGAGGGGATCGGGATCCTTAGTCTACGGCGTCCTTTGGAGGGACCGACTGAAGATGGAGGAGAGTACATCCCTGCCCAGAGGTACACTCCAGAGCAGCTGTGGCCCTGAATTCAGTATTTCAGTAAATTTCAGTATGCGATTCGGGTTGTAACTGGAGCGGCACTCACCGCTCCATGTTACCGCTGCGAAGATGTGCCATCCCTGTCGCACTACGTTCATGAGACGCAGTGCGGGGTCAGGTTCCTGCTGGGGCTGTAGATTTACTCTGGGTTTTAGGCGTCTAGGACCTAAACCCTAAACCCTAAACCCTCAACCCTCAACCCTCAACCCTCAACCCTCAACCCTCAACCCTCAACCCTCAACCCTCAACCCTCAACCCTAAACCAATGAAGGTGCAACATTGCAAGAGGCATGTGATCACGGGGTGGCACAGCCGGATCGCGGGAGCTGGTGGTCCTCGTGATACGTCATCATGGGATCCGCAGCCTGTAGTGCTTAAGTTTCGATGAGGGATCCATTAGGGTTCTCCTTGATGCCACCAAAGATAGTAGGGGTTCCCCCCCCCTTGATGCCACCGAAGATAGTCGAATAAGCCCTAAACCCTAAACCCTAAACCCTAAACCGTAAACCCTAAACCCTAAACCCTAAACCCTAAACCCTAAACCCCCCACGAAAGGGGACCCCTAAGTGTCGGAATCCCGCACCCTGGAGCTTGATAGTGGGCTTGATTGCTCCATGGTGGCTGAAGGGCCAAAGGCCCCGAGTTTTGCACGGTTTAGGGTTTAGGGTTTAGGGTTTAGGGTTAGGGTTTAGGGTTTAGGGTTTAGGGTTTAGGGTTTCGGGTTTAGGGTTTAGGGGCTTGGCACGGAGAAAGCGAGGCCATGTCTTGGAGTAGTTGTGCCTTGGTGGCCCAGTGGTACCCTTTTTCCCTTTTGCTTCAAGATTTGCCCTTAGCTCAACTCGCCAACCCCAAAAAGGGTGCCCTTCTTGCAATCCCCAACAGGGGATTAGGGTTTAGGGCTAGGGTTTAGGGTTTAGGGTTTAGGGTTCAGGGTGTAGGGTTTGCGCCTTTTTTGTTTCGAAACAAAGGTGCTGTTCATGAACGATAAAAAATCAAGCCTTCGAACTTATACACAACTTATCTCTTACTTAAGACGTATGTAAGATAAGCCCAGCATAAGTTCAAATTAAGTTCATATGTACCACGGCGCCAATACAGTAGGGTTTAGGGTTTTGGCCAGGGTTTACGGGCTTGGGAAGGCTGCGGGTACAGGCGGTGCTGATGCCGGACGTTCCGCTAAAGCGTTTGGCTTGCGCATAGCAGCATAGCGAAGAGCTAGCAAGGCGTACTCCCGTTGTCCTGAAGCTTCAGTTGCCATGGCACTGTCTTGCAGCCTCGAGCTTAAGCTGGGTGAGTTGGGCCAAAAAACCCAACCGCCTCGCCCGCTTGGAGGTTTCGGAAAGGCGCAGGCAGATGTGAAGAAGCCCTACGATGGGATCAAGCTGAAACTTTCTTCGCCTTTAGTTGAACTTCAAACTTTTTGGGTTTCCTTACTTAGTAGGAATCTTCAAGTTCAACATCTATTCCCCTTGGTTATTGGAGAAGTAAGGAAAGGCCTGGAGTCGAGGCAGAGCAGGACCGCCGAAGGAGCTGTCTCAGACGAGGACCTCACCCCAACGTGCGCCAGCTCGGCTACGTCGACTGCTGCCTCGCCTCGCACTTCCTGGCACGACGTCATGCCCATGAAGGTGCCAATCCCGCCATCATGCTGGAAGGAGATCGCCGGCCAGTCTTCGTCCCCGATGCGCTTTGGAGCCGTGCCCGAGAGCTCTCAAGTGATGGATGCAACCCACCGTCAGAGCGCCATCTCAAGTCTGCCATCTCTGGCAGCTTGGGCGTCTTCCGAATCACAAGCAGGATTCACTTGCTTGAGCACCCAATTCTCCGCGACCTCTCCCCCTTGGCCCCAGAGGTTTGCCAAGTTTGCCCCACCACCTGGGCTCGAGAGGCCAGTGCCACCCCAGGTAGACGGCGAGCTCCCCGAGCCTGAGTTCCCACACACAGGCAAATCCATACCAAAAGCCGAGGGACCGTTTCTGCGCCGAATCTTGGTAGGCCAGTGGTACCCTTTTCCTGTTTTTTTGGTTCAAGGTTCTCTTCTAAATTAACCAACCGAAAAAGGGTGCCCGTATCATGATATGGCTACTGGGGTACTAAGGCTTCGTCTTCACCGGCTTTGATGCTGTCAACCACGCCGACTTCGACCTCGTTCCTCGCTTAATCGGACGTGGCGGGTGCAACCTTCGTCCCATCCGGCAGGCATCGAGGTTGGATTTTGGGACATGTTTTTGGGTTTTCCTTATTTGGGTTTCTAAGGGACCCTCTCTATTTATATATATATATATAAATAAATACATAAATAAATAAATAATTAATATATAAATATATATAGTATATATATATACATATACATATATAGTATATAGATATTTCCCAGGGTGTTTAAAGGCCAACCCAGGCATGCAACGCCTACATCCGAGTCAGCGGAGGGGAAGACGACCTCAGGAGCCCGGTGGAAGTGCCTATATCCCCCTCAGGAATTATTGTTTTTTTGTTCCAAGAGGATATTACCGTAAACCCCAAACCCCAAACCCCAAACCCCAAACCCTAAACCCTAAACCCTAAACCCTAAACCCTAAACCCTACTTTTATTCAGGTTCTAAGGGGAGTAGAGGTGCTGCTGCTCTGTGGCAACCAGAAGGACTTGGAGGAAGGAACGAGGCGGCTGACTAAGTTGCTTTGTGGCACTTCACTGTAACTTAGGGTTTAGGGTTTGTAGGGTTTGTAGGGTTTAGGGTTTAGGGTTTAGGGTTTAGGGTTTAGGGTTGAGGGTTGAGGGTTTAGGGTTTAGGGTTTAGGGTTTAGGGTTTAGGGTTTAGGGTTACTTCAGGTCCTTAGCCTTTTTGGGGTCTATTGGGTTTCTTAGTAAGGCAGCTACCCTACTAAGTGCAGTCAAGGCTCCTGCAAAACCTCCGTGTGCACTTCGCTCGCTATTGCCGCAAGCGAGGTATCAGCCCAGTCCCTGTGCTGTACCGCTTGCTCCCCTGAAACCTGCAGATGGTCTAGAAGCAGGCTGCGAGAATGGCGCTGTGGGGCTTTTAGTAATTGCATCAGCTTCGACAAGCTGTTGATACAAGCTGCGCCACCCGCACCCTGCTTTTGAACGCCATAGCAGTGTTTCGGCCTTTGTACCTTTTGTACTCCCTGCGGCACACTCGCCGGAGCGAAGGTCCACGGCGATATAGGTTGTATCAGGCAATGTGGAACCTGCGCTCGGACTGACTGCAGACTCCGTTCTGCGCATATACATATACACATCTTTGTATATCCATACATACATATATATATACTATTTATATACACCTTCATTTTTTTTTATTTCGTCGCTCTTTGTGGTAGAAGAAGGAAAGCAGAATATTGTATCTTCCGTGCTCTTCTGCGCAACCTGGTCCCATTTGTCCTGGCCATAACCTTCATGTGCTGGACCGCAGGGGAGAGTACTTGGCTTACAGCTTTGGGAGCTCTGGTAGTCGAACTGTCTGACACTGCTTGTCATCATCGGTTTCTCCTGAGTAGCAGCTCATGTGCTCAGCTTTCTCTCCTAATTTCCTACGCTACGTGCGAGCCCTCGTGTTTGTGCTATGCAGATTTGGCCTTCCTCCAAGCCGTGTCAGGCAGCAGATCTGGGAGGGGATCGGGATCCTTAGTCTACGGCGTCCTTTGGAGGGACCGACTGAAGATGGAGGAGAGTACATCCCTGCCCAGAGGTACACTCCAGAGCAGCTGTGGCCCTGAATTCAGTATTTCAGTAAATTTCAGTATGCGATTCGGGTTGTAACTGGAGCGGCACTCACCGCTCCATGTTACCGCTGCGAAGATGTGCCATCCCTGTCGCACTACGTTCATGAGACGCAGTGCGGGGTCAGGTTCCTGCTGGGGCTGTAGATTTACTCTGGGTTTTAGGCGTCTAGGACCTAAACCCTAAACCCTAAACCCTCAACCCTCAACCCTCAACCCTCAACCCTCAACCCTCAACCCTCAACCCTCAACCCTCAACCCTCAACCCTAAACCAATGAAGGTGCAACATTGCAAGAGGCATGTGATCACGGGGTGGCACAGCCGGATCGCGGGAGCTGGTGGTCCTCGTGATACGTCATCATGGGATCCGCAGCCTGTAGTGCTTAAGTTTCGATGAGGGATCCATTAGGGTTCTCCTTGATGCCACCAAAGATAGTAGGGGTTCCCCCCCCCTTGATGCCACCGAAGATAGTCGAATAAGCCCTAAACCCTAAACCCTAAACC